GCTGGGCATGCGCCCTGATTGGGAATTGAACTGGTAACCTTTCAGTGCATGGGACAATGCTCAACCAAGTCAGCCACACCAGCCAGGGCTGAAATGAGTTTTTAAAGTAAAACCCCAACATTGGGTTATTTCATTCATAAATATTTCTGTATATTTCTCTGACAGATAAAGTCCTGGTTTCTTTCTTTCTTTCTTCCTTCCTTTCTTTCTTTCTTTCTTTCTTTCTTTCTTTCTTTCTTTCTTTCTTTCTTTCTTTCCTTTCTTCCTTTTCCTTTCTTCCTTTCTTCCTTTCTTCCTTTCTTCTTTTCTTTCTTTCTTTCTCTCTCCCTCTCCCTCCCTCCCTCTCCCCCTCTCTCCCTCTCTCTCAACATAACCAAAATGCCATTATCATACCTAACAAAATTAATAATTCCTTAATACCATTTACTCTCCACTTTAAGCCCAACAAGCAGTCATGAGGTCCTGTGCTAGTGTCCAGGGGAAACAGGGAGTATGATCCCATTCTCACTTTGGGGTTCCTATATCTTCCATAAAAAGTGCCTCGATAGGAGATTTGAGCTGGTAGCCAGAAGCCCTGTCTTGTTCTGCCCTCACTCAGAACTTTCATTGTCCCATCTGTGAAGTAGTATTGATTCTGAAGGGTTCCTTCAATCCCTTCTGGATGCACCCCCTTCCCCCATGCCTGCTGGTGGCCTGGGCTGGCTGACCCAGGCTCCACTCCAGGCTGTGCCACTGATTGTTCGTGTGACCTTAGGCAAGCACCTTTTTTATCCTGAGCTTGTTACAACCTAATAACAGTTAAATGAGATGACTTCAGTAAATCGTTTTAGTGCCTGAGAGCATAATAGCCCCTCATGGAACAGTAGCACTGATAAAGCCTGAATGCTATTCTCAGTGGTGCCTCAGAATCACAGGTGTTTGTTGAGTGGGTGAAAGAAAGAAGTTTAGGTGGGTTCAGGGGTCGCCTCCCCCTTTCTACTAAACAGAGGAGGTTTGGGCAGTGGCCTCTGCTGGGCTGGAAAATCCCAACCGCCCAGCCCTGGCGTTTAAGTCTGTGTTCTCCCTGGGATGTTTCCTAGAGAAAGAGTTTAGGTTTGGAGTCATTGGACCAAAGAAAGAATAGCTGGGGGCCTGTTCTGAGACCTCAGGCTGGTTGCTGGGTAAGCAGGGCTTCTGGTGGAGTGAAGGCCAGAGAATGCAGCTGGGCAGCTGGGTCTTGAACAGTCTTTGAGGCAGACCTTGGCGCTAGCGATAACCTGGCTTGTGCAGTAACCCATATGAAGAGCAATATTTGCACATGTGTCCATTTAGTTGTTTTCCCCACACATCCTCTGACCCTTCCCCCTGTTGGGGCCTTCCAGTAAGAGGCCCGAGCTTACAGGAAGCGCTGACCATGGCAGGTTGAAGGCCTTTCCTTATCAGCACTATGGCTATACATTTCCCCTGACTGAGCTGCCCTTGGCTTTTTTCCATAAAACCTCAGAAGCCCCGCGGTCCGTCCTCTGAAGTACATGGCCCCTGGGTCTTTAGGCCTTGTTTGGAATTTTCCCTGGGGCAGAGTGCACGCGACCTGTGCAGACCAGACCTGTGCGTGGGAAGGAGACTTTGCCCTCTGGCTTTCTGCTGCCTCTCTGCTTCCAGCCTAGCTTGGACAGGGACAGGTGGCAATTGCTCTGGGCTCTGGTGAGAAGGCTGCAGGTTCTAACTTCCTGCCACACATTGAACAGTTGAAGGAGCACATAACTGAGGGTGGGAGTTGGAGCGGGGATTGCAGACCTAGGAGACACTGTCACTCCTTGACCTTGACTTTTTGCTAGGCATTAAGCTGGATGCTTCAGGTTCATCTGTAAAGTTGGGATTATTATCCCATGAGACAGTTGGGAAGATTGAGGCTCAATGAAGGGGAATGACATGCTCAGGTCATTAGTGGCAGAGCTGGCATGAGAACCCAGAGGTGCCAAAGGACACATTCTTTCCATGGCCCTAGGAAAGCCCTAGCTTTTTAGTTTATCTCTCAACTGGCTGGGTGACCTCAGCTGTATTCCTTGATCTCTCTGGGCCTGACTTCCTCCAACGCAGAGCCTGTGGCCCTCTACTGTTGGGAATCCTGAAGCAGGTGGCTTTCTACCCTCTGTTTTGCCTCTGAGGTCTGGGTGTACCCAGTGTGAACCACTATCCACTACTTGTGCCCAGTTCTCTCCCACCACCCGTACTGGGGACTTGTGAGCATCAGCGAAGGCTTGGGTGGAATGGAAGTGGGAGCCTGAGTTCCAGAGGTATCCTGTGGTCCACCCTGCCCCTGCTATGCTCAGATAACCTCCTCCTGGAAACGTGAGTCTGCATCTCCGCTCCTTCCCTCTCCGCATATGCTTTGACTCAGCAAAACCTCTGGCCCTGGCCTCTGTGGGCAAAGTGGAGGCCACAGTGTGTGTGTCTACATGGGCCATGGAGAAGCAGATGGGGGTGGGGGGGAGGTTACAGCAATGAGGCCCAGAAACATTAGCCAGGCCCACTCCTCTGGGCCTTTTTGTGTTGGAACATGGGCCATCAGCATTGGCGGGATGGATCTTAGATCAGTGTAGACTGTTTTATAAGTGGGCAAACTGGGACCTCAAGAAAAAGTCAGGGCCCTATTATCTAGGTCACACAGGCAGGTGTCAGACCATTGGTGTTTGAGGTTGAAGAACCAGGCCAGGAGGAGAAGGTCTTCATGCCAGCTTCCATTGGTCTTTGCCCTGCCTCCATCAGTCTTTCCATATTTGCCATGCGAGTCCTTGAGTAGAAGAGCAGGCATCCCAGAGACCAGGCTATTGAGAGGCTAGGGTTCCGCTGTCTCCCCACTGAGTCTTTGGTCTTGAGGTAGTTGGAGCCACCATCCAGGTGTGCACCACAGCTGCTTGACAGGCGAGGCTTTTTCCCCGACTCATCTCCTCAGTGGGGCCGGGGTTGCCACTGGGCCAGGAGGAAGTGGGAACAAACCAGGTCCCTGTCTCCCTGTGCTGCTGTGTGTACACATTTGTGTGGTTTGTTTTTAGATTTCCTGCAGACACCAAGCTTCCTTTTCTGTTCTCAGCGGAACTTGCTGGGGCTCTCTTAGCAGGCAGCAGGCAGGCAGGCAGTAGCCTGGCTGGGAGGCACTTCTCAGGTGCCTCTAAAACCAATGGTAGGGCCCTGTGCGTAAGCTCCTTTAGATAGTCCAGGCTCTCCTGTCTTGCTTCTCCACGTAACTACTCGACTACATTGTAGGGAACCTGAGAAGGTTTAGAGATCTTCTGCAGCAGTGGAGGGAGGTTGAGGCAAGTCCATTGGTGCTATTGGCTCTTCTCCCCTCCCCCCAACCCCTGGCAAAGGCTAGGAAGGAGGGGGCAGGGTCCTCAGTTTGCACAGCCTTGCGTCTTGTCCAGCATCTTGGTGACAAGGGCATCTGCTTGTGGAATATGATAGTTATCTGTAGTTGCGAGGGTTGTTGTGTGGGAATTTGGCCTCGGGGAACATCTTTGGCAGGATCTGCCGGCTGTGTGTGCACATGTACATTTCTCGGCTGGTGACTGTATGCTCAGAGAGGGGACAGAAGGGGGGGGGGTCTGAGGAGGTGAGGTTCATGCTGACCTCTATGGCCTTAGTGAGGGGTACAACCCCTGATATTTGTAATCTCTGCCCACTCCCAGGCCTTTCCAGCTGATTCCTGTTTGTGCTGGTGGGGAAACTGAGATAGACAGAATCAGGCCTGGCCTCTGAGTCAGGTGGTTAAGGTGATAGCGGGATTGGAGTGGTGGTAATGTCATCTTGGGTGTCAGTGCTTGAAGTCTGTCCTTAAGAGCCTGGCCTCCCCTTCACTCTCCCAAATGTGTGACCTTGGGCCAGCTGTGCCACATTTCTGTACCTCAGTATCCCCCCTGTGTAAAGTCAGATTTTTGGGGGTGAGGATAGAATGAGTTGGAATGTAAAAAGGCTTTGAGGGAACCAATTACAGTGCTGTATTGAGGGTTCCTGGGTTCTGTTTGGGTTGGGGACAGAGGTGAGGTAGTGGGGAACCCTCTTCCAGCTGGACTCTGGGAGGGGAGAGCAGGTGCGGACTGCCCGCAAATGCAGCGTCAGCAAGAGGGGGAGTTTCGGTTTCTATCAAAACAAGTTCTCTGAATTCCCCTACCTCTGCAAGTCCAGTGGGCCCTTTCTCCCACCTTGGCCCCCACAGGGAAGTCCAGCCCAGCCCCTAGCCCCTGTGCCAACCGTCTGGGAGGAGGCAGGCTTTCAGGAGGACAAAGGCGAGACTAGCAAAGTCAGACAAGAGCCTCCTCAATGAGGACTTCGTGTGTTCTTAGGCAACTCTGGGTATTTTCCTACCCCATATCATTGAAAAGATCCTTCTACTCTCCCTTGTTGGGGAGGTACTATTACTTTGTGTCCTTGGTCCTGAGGAGCATATTTTCTTCCACAGTAATGATCCCTAAACTAGGGTGCATCTTATAATCAGTGAGTTTGGTCATCTCCCCCCTGCAGCTGTGATTAAATACATGTATTATATCACCTATCAATGCATCTTAGGATCGAGGAGAAAAGGTCATATTTTGCATGTGGCTGCTAAGTAGAGAAGGTCATACTTTGCCCACATTTAAGGACCCTGTTATGTGAAGCCTATACTATTGATTTGACAGTAATTTGGTTACTAAAGATTTACAGTACGATTACAGAAGGTGGGTCTGTGGCCCTTTGGCGTCATAAAGGTCGAGTGCCAGTCCTGCATACACATAGGGCAGCCTAGACTCTGGGTTTGGGGCTTTCCTCTGGCTGAGGAAGTACAACAGAAATGAGGAAGGGCTTAATAAGTGGTTCCGGTGACATTCTAGCTGACTTTGTGGGTAGCTAGCTACCTGAAGGCATCATCATCTGCCTCATGACAAACAGAGCCCCGTCTCTTGAACACCTACTATGACTGAGACATTTGGCAAACCATCCCCTGTAGTCTTTACAGCTCCCATGAGAGGAAGAGGAGTTACTCTCTCCACCTATGGATGAGGCCACTGCAGCCCAGAGAGTTTAAGGGCCTTGTCCAGTACCACACAGCTAGGAGGCAGCAGAGCCTTACTGCCAAGGCAAAGCGGTCAGTGGCAGGGAAATGTGGGGACCCTCAAGGGGTTCTCCCCCCCAACTCCCTTCCCTGTCCCACAGTCTCCCTCGTTCCTCTGTTTTCTTGCATCCAGCATGTAGCTCAGGTCGATGTATCTCTTAGGCCCGGAAATGCCGATTGACCCTTCCCCAGAAACAGCTCAGCCCTCTCCCTGAGCCTGGCAAGCCAGTCTCCATTTAACCCCTTCACTCCCATCTCAGTTCCTGTTTACTGCAGCTGCCCACAGCACTGCCTCCTCCGCACCCAGGCCCATTCTACAGAAATAGCTTGTCAAGCAGCTCTGGCAGGCAGGCAGCCGCAGTGGGCTCTGTGGTACTGGCTTCTAAGAAAGGCAGCAGCAGGGGGCCCCCAGCCTGTGCACAGGGCATGTGACTTGCTGGAAGTGCCACTGGGGGGCGGGGCAGAGTTGTAGCCACAGAACCCACATCCTTGTTTACATCAGTGATGGGGCTATCCCTTCCCGCCTTCACGCCCCATACTCCCCCTCACCCTCGGGTCCTTGCACACCTCCAGGAAGACTTGAGAACAGGCATGGGCCCCTATCCTATCTCAGAGCAGCCTTTCTCTCCTTATCTCACAAACCCTCCAGGGAGGGCAGGGGAGGGCAGCGAAGGCGTTCTTCTGGCAATTCTTCACTGAGGTAGACTGGCTGTCATGGAAGAATTCTGCCCCTGCTCCCATGGAAGAATTCTGCCCCTTCCCCAGCGAGATCCCATCAGAGCAATGGTTCTCTGGGAGACAAAGGAAAATTCCCTCTTCATCTTAGTCAGTGGATGTAATGTGGGCCTCATCTTCAAGCCCACCTTAATTTCCCAGGGAGAAGACTCACTGGTTCCCTGAGTTTGTTCATGCACTTAGCGAATTTCCCAGTTTCCTGCACTGTACTGGGCCCTGAGCTGGGGTAGACTTGGATGTGACTTGCCCTCAGTAGGAAGCCCAGTGTGATCAGGCAGATGACTTCTGTACACATGTTTGATAAGCCTGGTGATAGAGGTGTCCAGGAGGGTGGGGAATTATTAAAGAACATACTGGTGTTGGATAAGTAGGCAATCCAGCAGGATGGAAGGAATGTCCTGAAATGATGGAAGGAATGTGTGAAGATTCTCAAGTCAGGCAGAGGGGAGCCTGTGTCTTAATTTGACTAAAACTCCATGATGCCTGAACCATTTGGGCCACAGGCTGCCCTTAGGTGCATATGTATCTTATCTCTCTTACTAGACTCTGTACTTCTTGTGGGCAGAGGCAGGGTTTTACCAAGCTCTGTCACCTTCATAGTACCGCACATTTAGGCCCTGGGGAAGGACACTCTGATTTACTGAGTGACTGCTCCGTCTCAAAACCAGTGCTGGTCACATTACACACATTATCTCATTAATCTCACAAGAAGGCCTGCCAGGGAGTTATCCAGCTTGTTCCTGTTTTACACATGAGGCAGGTGAGGCTCAGTACACTTGGGTCACTTGCCTCTGGTCATTTAGCACTAGCACTTGGCAGAACTGGGCTTAAAGCCCAGCTGTTTTCCTTTTTTTTTTTTTCAATCTACAAAGGCCATGCTGACTCCAGGAAGTTAGGTACACTGAATTCTAGACTTGAATTGGTCACACATTGACTTTCTGTGTGAACTTGGTCAAGCCACAAACTCTCCCTGAGCCTCAGTTTCCTCATGTGAAGAGTGAAGGTGGGGGTATGGAATCGATAGTGCTTTGGGCCACTTATGGGACTTAAAATGTTTATTGACTTGTCTGAGTAGCCATCCAAGCCCTAGACAAAGTCATCTGCATGAGAGGCCTGTGGTTGTGTCCCTCTCACCTGTACTCTTGTTCAAAACTGTCCTTGTTTGCCTTTTTCTTCATGATTCCGTTCCAGCCCACAAGGCCAAGAACTCTCCAGGCCCTGGGGTAGGAAAGGAAGTTTTCCTGGCCCTGAGCCCTTCACCCCAAGGATGTTCTGTGACTTAGAACTCTTCTCTGGTGCCAGTCTAATCCCAGCCTCTCCTTTCTTCTGCCTCCACAGCTGACCAGGTGTATGGAGACCAGGACATGCATGAGGTTGTACGAAAGCACTGCATGGACTATCTGGTGAGACTTTGTAGAGACCTTGGGGTAGGGGCAGAGTGGGAGGATCCCCTCCCCACACTGATCTCGACCCTCTGATCTGTTGTGCAGATGAAGAATGCGGACTATTTCTCTAACTATGTCACAGAGGACTTCACCACCTACATCAACCGGAAACGGAAAAACAACTGCCATGGCAACCACATTGAGATGCAGGCTATGGCGGAGATGTACAACCGGCCTGTGGAGGTGTATCAGTATAGCACAGGTACCCACTGTGGTGGGTAGGTGAGCGACTGACGGCACCTGGTCTGAGCCTGCCCTGCCCACTGTGGATGCTACTTCCTTCTCTTTTCTGCAGAACCCATCAACACATTCCATGGGATCCATCAAAATGAGGACGAACCCATCCGTGTCAGCTACCATCGGAATATCCACTACAATTCAGTGGTGAATCCTAACAAGGCCACCATTGGTGTGGGGCTGGGCCTGCCATCTTTCAAACCGGGGGTAAGCATGTCACCATGCCCAAGATGGCTGTTGGATTTAGAGGCCAGAAACCTTTGTCTGGGCCTCAGTTTTATCCTAGCCCACAAAAGTGTCCTGTCCCCTCTCTGAGTTGCCTCTGAGGTCTTACCTCTGTGAAATCACGAGTCCCCCAAGGGGATCTCTCAGGCTCATTCTGTGGTCTCAGTTTATCTGTCTGAGCTGGCTCACCCATCTTTGTGCCTATGGAGGGTTGGCATTTTGGGATATGGAGTCATATTGGGAACCATGAACCAGGCCTGGGGCTGGGTGTCTTGGTCCCCACATGGATCCTCCTCTGAAACTCAGCAGTTATAGACATCTGTAGTTACAGAGACTTAGAGTTCAGGCCTGGTCCCAACACTTAACTGGCTGTGGGACCTAGGGCAGGATTCACAAGTAATTTGGGCTGGCAGCTTGGCTGATTCAGACAACGCCTAGCACTGGGCCTGGTGCCTAGTAGGTGCTCAGATGGTGGCAGTATACTTTCCCAGCACACACTGGCAGATTCTCATTCTCTTTCATAAATATTCGCCTGCTGGGGATTTTGATATCTTCTATTCAGGTTTCACTTCCTACAAATAGAAAGTGCTCCTGCCTCATTTTAGGAAACACACACCCTAACACCAACACACCCTCCAACATTAGGGGTTTTTTTGTTTTGGTTTTTAAATAAACTTTTAATTTTAGAACACTTTTAGATTTTAGCAGAATTATTACGCTTAGAGAATTCCCATATACCTAACTATGATTAACATCTTATTAGCATAGTACATGTGTCACAGTTAATGAGCCAATATTGATATATTAACTAAAGACCATACTTTGTACAAAATACCTCAGTTTTCCCCTAATCTTATCTGTTCTAGGATCCCATCCAGGATCATATTACATTTAGTTGTTGTCATGTCTCCTTTGGCTCCTCTTGGCTGTGACAGTTTCTCTAGATTTTCTTGTGTTATTTTTTTTTTTTTCCGATCTGTTTACAGACTCTATCCTTGCACCTTTTCTAGAATGTCATCTAATTGGAATCATACTGTATATAGTTTTTTCAGTGTCTTGTTTCACATAACACTACATTTAAGATTTTTTTGTTTGATCGCTTTTTTTTTCCTTTTTAAAAAAAATATGAATGCCTTAAGTTTACAGAAAAACTAAGAAAGATAGTTCAGAGTTCCCTGCATCCATCCTCCGTCCTGTCCTGCACACAGTTTTGTTACTAACCTATCATGACTGTGATTCATTTGTTACAATATATGAACCAATATTGGCACCTTATTAACTAAAGTCATCATGTTTCTTTAGGCTCCTTTGTCTGTGACGATTTCTCACACTTTCATGTTTTTGATGGCCTTGATCGTTTTGAGGAGTACTGGTCAGGTATACTGTAGGATGTTTCTCTTTTGGAATTTTCTGTTTTTCTCATGATTAGACTGGGGTTACGGGTCGTAGGAAGGAAGATCACAATAGTAAAGTGCCATTCTCATCACAGCATATCAACAGTATGTACTGTGAACATGATTTGTGATTTGTTGTTGCCTTTGATCACCTGGCAGAAGTAGTGTTTGTTAAGTTTTCTCCACTAATATCACTCCTCCACCTCCTTCACTCCCTTTTCCACATTGTACTGTTTGGAAGGAAGTCATTATATGCAAACCACACTTAAGTTGGTATTGCCCTGGCCAGCCAGCTCAGTTGGTTATCTGCCTGATATGCCAAGGTTGCACGTTTGATCCCCGTTCAGGGCACATACAGGAGTCAACCAATGAATGCATAAATAAGTGGAGCAACAAATCGATGTTTCTCTCTCCCTCTCTTTCTAAAATCAATAAATTAAAAATATTTTTTAAAGAAAAAAGAAAGAAGTGGCTGTTATGCTCCATCTCCTTGAGGGCAGTATATTCACATAAATTATTTGGAATTCTTGCAAGGGAGATTTGTCTCTTGTCCTCTATTTATTCAACCCTTTGTTTATGTCAGTATTGGCTCAGATATTTATTTTATACTTTGGGTTATAATCCAATGATATTTTTATTTTGATGCTCAAATTGTTTCAGTTTTAGCTATCGGAAGCTCTCTTAGTGTCTTTTTGACATACTCCCATCATTGTGGTGGTGGTGGTGGTGGTGGTGTGTGTGTATGTTTTGTGTGTTTTTTGTCCTTTTTGTTGTTGTTTTTGGGGGTTTTTTAGCACTTCCTAACTTTCTGGTACTAAAAGTGTTCTAGGCTCAGCTTGTATGTTTCCTCCCCTGGTCTTAGAACCAGCCATTTCTCCTTGGTTCCATTTATTAGAATGTTATTAGAAGCCACGATCTGGGTGCTGAGTGTGCTTCTTGGTACTGGGGTGTCCTTCCTTCTAGGCCCTTTCAGCTGGCTGAGTAAGGAGATATATGTGTATACTAACCTGTGTGTATACACATATCCAGAAATATTTCTATGTATAACTACTCATATCTGTATGAAGCTACCAGCTGATTGGTACTGCTTTGTTTTAATTTTCAATTTTCTAATGACAAATGGTATTGAGCATCTTTGCATGTGCATATAAAATTGTTTGTTAAGATTTTTTTGACCATTTTTAAATTGTCTTATTCTAATAGAGAGTTTTAGATACTTTTTGGACTATTATCCATAGGTAAAAATTATATTTTATATCATTACTTTGTGCGCACACACATTGGTGTGCAATATTTGTCCATTAAAATAATGTTAGAATTTTGCTGAACAGTACTCACATTTAATTTAATCCCTGGGATATGCTCTGATATTTTTTATTATTTTGGTTTTTAAAATGCAGTTGTATCTCACAGTCTAACAAAGAGCACTCATACAGTGCCCCACAACTCATAGCACCTCACATCATGCTAATACTACTTGTCCCCTTAAATACCTGACTACTCCCTCCACCCTGTGCACATACAGCTAACTTCTCAGGTGATCTTTTCTTCTTGTGCCATCTTAGCATAGATGAGGAAGGCCTCAACATTGTGAAACTGTCATCACTGGGTAAGGCTTCTTTAAACTCCAGCCTAGGCTGGAGGGCACCTGGTTGCCCGACTTAGTACTTCACTTGAGTTGTCTTGGGATTGGGAACAGGGCTTCTGAGTGTAGGAGTTTGGAACTACTAGTCCCACCACCCAAGCCTGCTTTTCCCCAGTCCCTGATGAATAGGCAGCCTGCCCAGGGGGGTGCTTAGTAAGAGTACTTGCCTTCCTGTCTCCTCTTTCTGGGCCTGTGGGCCTACTTCCCTGAGCCAGATCCAGCTGTTGGCCGGAGCTCAGAGTGTTACCCCATTTCCTTGTTCCTCCCACCTTTGCAGTTTGCAGAGCAGTCCCTGATGAAGAGTGCCATAAAGACATCAGAGGAGTCATGGATTGAACAGCAGATGCTGGAAGACAAGAAGCGAGCCACAGACTGGGAGGCCACAAATGAGGCTATTGAAGAGCAGGTGGCTCGAGAATCCTACCTGCAGTGGCTGCGAGATCAGGAAAAACAGGCCCGCCAGGTCCGCAGCTCCAGCCAGGTAGGTCCTAGCTCTGTCACTGGCCTGGCCAAGAACCCATTTTTTCCCCAGCTCTGCCCCAAACAGGCAGAAAAATTAAGCAGTTTTGACATCTGGGAGAGAAGGAAGCTCCCAACCCTATTTGTACCTCATCTTGGCCTTAGTCTTGGCATTGTGCCTTAGAACTCTCAACACCTGTGCAGAACAAGCTCTTGGAGGGAGGGAGGGGGGAGAGAGAGAGCGAGAGAGAGAGAGAGAGAGAGAGAGAGCGCAAGCGCGCACAGTCACTGGTGGTGACGTGCAGAATGGATGGATAGTTTCAGAGGGACAAGCTTTTGTTGAATATCCTTGTGTGCCATGCTCTGTGCTGAGAATATGAAATCAGGTCTAGCCTGCTCCACCCTCAGTGGTCCCGTCTATTGAGGGAGACAGAGGCATCAGTGGGGCCCTTGACCATGGGTGGGAGACCAGTGGAGATGGGGGCTCTAGTTAGTATTCCCACAGGAGGGTTGAAAATTTTAGGGCAGGGACGGGACAGGATATATAGACATTTGAGGAATCACAAGGAGTTTAGCGTGATTGTAGATGTTGGCAAGCGCTGATTCAGTTGTTCAGCAAATATTTATTGTAGGTCTGTGCCCGTACTGTTCTATGTACAGAGGTACATTGGTGAGCCAGGCAGGCCCAGATCCCTGTCCTTGTGATACTTAAATTTTTGCAAGAGTGGAACAAAATAAACAGTAAACATAATGAGTACATTGGTTTAGAGGTGGTATGGATGGGGAAAAAAAACAGAGAAGAGTAAAGGGAATAAGTGGGGCTGGGAGTTCACAGTATTAAATAGTGTGGGCATAGTGGGTCTCAGAACAGGTGAGATTTGAGCAAAAACTAGCCATAGGTGAAGGAGGTAGCTAAGTGCATGTGCCGGAGCAGAGGGAGGACCAGCTAGAGCAAAGGCCCTGAGGTAGCACACCCCTGCTGGGATTCAGGAGCGGCTTGAGGCCAGTGTGGCGGAACAGAAGTCAGAGAGGCAGTGGGGCCAGATTAGGAAGGGACCTGTGGGCCATGATGAGGACTTTGGCTTTCATTCTGAGTGAAGCAGATTCATTGCAGGGTTGTGAGCAAAGGAGGAATAGGATCTGACTTAGGGTTTAACAGGTTGCAGAACGCAGTCTGGGTGGCAAGGGTAGAACAGGGGACCAGTGAGGAGGAAGCTGCTACAGTAGTTCAGGTTGCCACTGATGGCACAGGCAAGGGAGAGGGCGAGAGTTGGGAGGCACTCTGGATCTATTTTGAAGGTGGAGGTTTCCTATCAGTTGGCTGTGAGGGTGTGAGGAGGCTTAAGGAGCTCACCTTCATCCTTTGGTCCATGGTGTGACTGGGAGTGGTGGTGACCTATGTAGAAGCTGTGTCACAGCCAGGATTGTCGGGGATGGGGCAGAGGAACATTGAGGCTGTTGTAGGTTCTTACCTCTTACTCCTTCCCCACAGCAGCCCCGGAAAGCCAGTGCCACGTGCACTTCCGCCACAGCAGCCGCCTCCAGTGGCCTGGAGGAGTGGACTAGCCGGTCCCCGCGGCAGCGGTCACCGGAGCACCCTGAGCTGCATGCCGAGCTGGGCATGAAGCCCCCTTCCCCAGGCACTGTCTTAGCTCTTGCCAAACCTCCTTCACCCTGTGCACCAGGTCAGTGACTTGCTGACAGGGAGCATGCAGGGCTTAGGAGGTGCCACCTGGGTCCTGGGCCCTGTCTCTGACTGTCCATCTGCCCCAGGTACAAGCAGCCAGTTCTCAACAGGGGCCGACCCAGCGACTTCCCCCCTCGTGTCCCTCTACCCTGCTCTGGAGTGCCGGGCCCTCATTCAGCAGATGTCCCCCTCTGCCTTTGGTAAGCCTCCTTTGTCTAGGAACCAGGGGCCAGCCAGGATCTGGGGAGAGATGGAAGAAGCAGTATGTCTCTGTGGGGTGGCTCTGGAGCCTCTGGCCATCTCTCCAAAAAAAGGGAATCCTTTAGGCCCAAGGGATCTGTCCCAGAGGGGTTCTAAATGGGTTTCATAGGCCCAGAGGAGCCTTCTAATAGGAGTAAGAGGGCCCTGGATGGGATCTATGCAGAGCCAGGGGTCAGTGAATGGCGAAGAAAAGACAGGCTCCGTCATTCTTTTTCCCTTCTTCTTGCCCAACAGGTCTGAACGACTGGGATGATGATGAGATCCTGGCTTCGGTGCTGGCAGTATCCCAACAAGAATACCTAGACAGTATGAAGAAAAACAAAGTGCACAGAGATCCGCCCCCAGACAAGAGTTGATGGAGACCCAGAGACTGGAGACCATCTCCCAACCCCACCACTCCTGCCCTCCGGTGCCGCCTCACCTTTGGCTTTCTTCCTTCTTGCCGTCTTCCTCCTTCCCTTGCTTTCCTTCTTTTCCTCCTCCCCACCTCCCTCTTGCCGGTCCATCCCTGCACCCCCTCTCATCGCTGCCACCACCACCATCATCTGTCTCTTCCCCAGCTGACGTGCCCTGTTGCCCCCTGCACAGCACCATCCCTGCAATCCACAGGGGACTCGGGCAAGGGTGCCGAAGGTAGGCGAGAGGCACAGAGACAAAGCAACTGGCAGCCAGGCAGCCCCTGAGGAGAGACATTCAGACAAAAGAAAGCCTCCCTGACCCCCATTCCTCCCAAGTTAAGAAAACCTTGTTACCCCACCTCTACAACTATGTCAGGGAAGTGGGAGGAAGAAGTGGGGGATTCCCCTTCCCAGAACCCTAAGAATGTCTGAGCCTTCAATGTTGAATTTTTTTCTTTATTAAAATGTACTTTTATCTTATAAAATTAACCAATCAAAAACGACATAGATAACAGCTTTGACTCTGTGAAGGTGGCATCTCTCTGGTTTGGGGGCAGGCAGGCAGGGGGGCCCAGAGGGGGCACAAAGACGTGCTGCTGTCTCTGGCCTCCAGCTCTGTGGAGATGGGCAGGGTCTAGAGTATGAGCCAGGGCGGAGTAGGGGGCCAAGGGTAGCAGGTGTCCTGTGGGCTTCGGACAATGAAACTCTGACCTCGCTGCATTCCTATTGCTTCCATCACCACCAGTATCTGTAATCTTGGGGTGGGGGCACCTTTGAGGATTATAGCCGCCAGTCAAGATTTGAGTGTGGGGAGTGGGAGCAGCCTTGGCAGATGGGGCACTTGTGCCCTGCAGGTGTTGACAAGATCCGCCATCTGTAATGTCCTTGGCACAATAAAACCAAATGTCAGTTTCCCTGGAGCGCCTCTATTCTGTGTGGGGCCGAGTGTGTGTGTGTGGTGGCGGGGGGTGGTCTCTGGACAGAGACAGCGAGGGGACAGGCTTTGGCTTGACCTCTGAGGGCTGCATGCTCTCCAGGAGGATCTCTGTGGGGCCGAGTTTGTTCATATTTGACTCACTGCTTACTAATCCACCTCTGGACCTGTTTCCACCAAGAAAGCTCCATCCTTGCCAGTGGCCCCTGCCTCAGCACTGGCACAGGATGTAGCCTGCCCACCTTATGTCCTGGGGTTTGGTGGGAGCAGAGGACTGAGCTGAGGGCAGGGACTGAACTTCCAACTTCTCTGCCTGCCTCTTTCGCCATAAATGTTTGCTCTTCTGATCGTTTGATGAGGAAACACTTTGTGAAGTACAGTAGATGCTTCACATGAGTTCAGTGGAAGGGACTAGATGGACCTCCTCCACTGGGTTTTAGAAGCTGAGGAATGGCTAAACCCTTTTTTATTTATCATGTCCCCCAGTTCTCTGACAGTTCTGTGTCCCGACCTTCCTAGGAGTAAAGCCAAGGCAGAGAAGGATGGCTGGCCCCAGGTTTTGTCAAGTGTCTTTTTTGCTGTGCCTCAGTAATGGGGCCCCTGTGGAAGGATGCGTGCCCAACTCTACAGGCGAGGGTGTGGCTGGTTGAGTGGCTGTCGGAGGGATGTCTGAAATCATTGGTCAAACGTGTGTGTGCTGGAGAGTTGATTTCAAACCTTCCTCAGCTTTTTCTTGCCATTTGGCCTTGGTCATATCACAGGCTCTGAGTTTCAAGTGGCCCATTTGTACAACAGGGGTGATTAATGTCTACTATCTCACACTCTGGTTGTGAGCATTGAGAGAGAATGCATATGGTCAACATAATGAATGATGGCACAGTGCCTAGCACATTCCAAAAGCTCAAATGTTAGTAGATATTTATTCTGCTGTTGAAATGTAAGCACCATTTGCCCCTGCCTACTTCTTTTTGCCTCCAGTTATCTTGGGCCTATTTGCCCTTCCCCTGTCCCGGGCCAAGGCCTTGTCTTTCAAGATGTGCAGAGGGTCTCCTTCTGAGAAGCCCTGTGTGACCTCATCCACATTCTCCCATCTGTCTACAAATACGTCTTTTTTAAATACGTTTTTTATTGATTTTACAGAGAGGAAGGGATAGGGAGATAGAAACATCAATGATGAGAGAGACTCATTGATCGCCTGCCTCCTGCATGCCCCCTACTGGAGATCAAGCCTGCAACCCGGGCATGTGAACCATGACCTCCTGCCCTACTCTATCCCTCTCCCCTCCTCCCTGTAAAAAATAAATTTTTTTAAAAAAACAAAAAAATACCCATGACCTCCTGGTTCATGGGTCAACACTCACCCATTGAGCCACACTGGCCAGGCCAAATATGTCTTTACTCCTTCCCCAATAACTGTACTATCAACTTCCTGGGTAAGAGCTATGATGCCTGACTTATATATCTCTAATATCTGCACTCCCACCAAGGTCTGATAGGCTTACAGTAGACCCCTAATAAATGTCAGTTGAATAAAGGAGAGTAACATGTGTGTATTTCCTTTTTGGGTGTTGTCTGTGTATATGTTACTGTAGTGAGTTCAAGTCTTTATGTGCATCTCACAGTGTGTTTATAGTTGTGTGTGTGATAAGGGCTTGCTTCCAGGTGTGCCAGATGATGACAGTTTGTGTCTGTTTCTGAGACTGAGTGCATGTTTGTGTGTTTCTGTCTGTGATAGCGCATCTGTGATTCTTTCTGATGGGGTGGATGTCCATTTGTGTTCCTGTGATGGATTCTGGGCAGCTATTTCTGAACAATGTCAGTGACAGTGCTGTATGCCTGTGGGTACATGCATGTCTATGACTGGATCTATCCGTCACAGGTATCACATATATATGTTTGCCTTTGCAGCAGTGCATGTGTGTCTCAAGCATTTGTGTGGCTTCCTGGGACAGTACAAGTTTTTATGTGACAGTGCATATTTGACGGTGCCAGTGCCTTTGTGACAGGTTCTGGTGGTGTGTCTGACAGACATTTCTGTGTCATTGTCACATGGTAATGTAGGTCTACGTGAATCTCTCTGGAGTGCCTGTCTTTCTGTGACTATATCTGTGTCATTCTGGGATATGACTCTCTGGCAGCATGCCTGCCTGACAGTGGATGGAGCTCTTTGTGACAGTGCACATCTGCATGTGTGTCTAGGACAAGTTTACATGAATGCGATGATACGTATTTGTGTATATTTCATTTGGTCTTTCATGTGTGTCTCTTTGGAGTGCATGTCTGTCTTCCTGCAGCATGAGGCCCGACTCTGTTTTTCTCAGATTTGTGACTAAGGGTTTTTTTTACCACCTCTCAGCCCCTGTCTCTCACCTGGAGCACACCCCCAAGCCACCACCACTCTGGCTTGCTCCTACATCTCAAGAACCACCCCCCCCACACGCCCTTCCAGATTCTGGACCTGCTGACTGGGCTCACAGCTGGCCGGGTTTAGCCCCCAAAACACCCCCACAGGCCGCCTCTCTGTGACGCTGCCTTTGACCAGCATGCTCCTGTTGGAGTGGTCAGGGGGTTGCCCTCCCTGGCAACTGAACAGAATCTTCCAGGATCCCCGGCTTCAGTTTCAGGGCAGAGGCCATGCGTCGCCTAACCTAGAGGGCCCTTGTCCTTGGTGAGGAGCATCCTTGAGAGACAGGGTTCTGGATAGCCACTGGCCCAGATTCTGAGAAGCTGGGCCTGGCGGTATCTCCGTGCTAATCTTGAGGCAGCAGCAAACCAACTTCCTAGGAAAGGAGGGGGTGCAGCTTTTTTTTTTCAGTTTTTTTTCTATATATACATATACGCACATATATAAAAACAACCCCGTGCAACAATCAAAACAAATGCAGTTGCTGCAAAGGGATTCCCAGAACCGGTTTCGCGCGCGCCCCCTCATTTGCATGCAGACCCCGCCCCCACGGAAGATCCGGGCGCGTATTTGCATAAGGGGGTACTTGAGACCTGGGGGGGTGGTATGCAAATGAGGGCTGGCTCCGATTGGCTGGGGTACAGCAGGTGCCGCGTCCGGATTGATCAAAGCCAAGTGGGCGGGGCCGTCGCTCTGAGCGACTCTCTCGGGAGGCGCGTGCCCCGGCTCAGTAGCGTTGGGGCTGGCGAGCGCGACGAATCAGAGCATTGCGCCGTCTGTGGGCGCTTCTGGGCCACCGGCTTCTCCGC